CCTGCGGGGTTCCACATCGGGTTCTTGTTCCGGCATGTTCTGATGACTTCAATTAACACTTGCTGTGCCAAACAGAATATCGAAAGATGTAAATCGCCTTGGAGATTTATCGATTGCTCTTCACAAAGATCGACTCAGGGTATGGGCGGCATCAAAGGACGACCAGCAGACGCAACGCAAGTCTAGAGGAAGTTGTGCCGGATGGGCACCCACTTCCCCGGATCATGACCGCATGGATCTTCGCCATGGATACGCCAGAGCTGCCGACCCGTACAGCGCCCATCCGCCCCCTGCCCGAGCGGCTTCTTCTTCCCGTCATTTTTTTACTGATGGCAGGACGCCGTCCTCGTTGAATATCGGCGATAATTGTTCAACCCCTACACATTTGAATCACGATTGCAGACTTCAAGGCGTCTTAAAGGGGCCCAACGACTGCACTGTGGCCCACGCTGTCAGCTCCAACGCCCCATCGCGAGCTTCCACAGGTTTCTACCGCACTGGTGGGCGGATGGGAATCGACTCGGAAATCCCAAATTCCCCTTCACCACTGGTACATTCCCAATCTCTCAAGCTTGTGTCCGGCAGACAAATCTCCTGCAGCGCGCGTTCTTCACTTCGAAACGCGAAACGAGTGAGCAGAAGTGCCGAGCACCAAAACAGAAGATGGAGTGGAGGTTGCGAGCGTAAAAAATGGGTTAATCCCAATGAATGGAATGTAAAACGGGTAAAGCACGTTTCCGCGGCAGCGATGGATTGCCACCGGGAGGTGAGGAGAGTGGAGTTGGTTGGATCTCTAGAGGGGCCCTGCAGGTCAAGGAGCGTCTCGGCGTGGGAAGGCACATCGTCCGTACGGTCATGGGAGGGCGATTAGAAGAGAGTCTGAAGACTCACTCTGAATTCCATTGCATTGGTACTGTACCATGGGCTCAGCAAAACACCATGCTATTATAGGGTCGCTTGTCATCGCGCCTCAACACCGCATACAAGTTGTAAGTTTTATGAGCGCACAAATTGATAATACTTCGTTTGAAGTATGATGAAGTACTTCGTTTGATAATACTTCGGTTGAAGTATGTTTTTATTTGGCATTCAGTACAAGCCTGAGGTGGAATGACACCCCCGAGTCTGTCCATCTGTGCTGTGTGGCAGACGTTTATTGCTTGTGGTATCGGATGCCTGCATGGAAATCCATGCAACTTGCATCATTAAAGGAATTCTTTTCTCCTCACATATCAGCAAAATTGAACCAAAAATCCCAAAAGGAAATTTCTACAGTTAATGTAAGTCCAAAGATATCCATTTATTTGGGTGATTACTGTTCACGCGTTGATCACGTTCTGACACAACTTGCTGTTGCAGTTATCTCATCGGTTGCATGTGTCAATGCCGAGGTGGAATGGTGGAATGGTGTGGCTGGAATTGCGAATGCATATGTCTTTCAGCTTGAAAGTTTCAAGTGAAAGGGAAGTTCTTCTTTTCCCAAAATGCTTCAAAGGGATCCCAGTCCGTGTCCACGACAGTTTGGCTTTGGGCATGACGGGCTTGTTGCATGCAGAATCCGGGATGTTTCTCCAGGGTCAATGTAACAACTTTGCTGCGAAATGCATATGCCTATTCTATTACAGTCAGTTGGCTATTGGCTGGGGCTGCAAATACGGCGCTATCACGGCCGCCGACTGCATTCCATCTTCTCCCTACCGCTGAATAGTCACGTGTGCGAGTATTCATATGGCAGACCGCCAGATGTACTGACGAGCAGGAATTCCACCTGGCAGGATGCTGCCACCTCCCATGACATTCACTCTACAGTGAGAATTAACGAAATCAGAATTTGGGTATTCTTTCATTTTTGCATGTTGCGACTTTCCTGAAATGATCCTGCAAAGGAATGCACATGTTTCTGTACACTGTACCTTAGCAGGTCGTATGCGCAGTCAGCTTCAATCAGTCTAAATATAGACTTGCCATTGATAACACATAGCAAAAGCATCATTCAATGCATAATACTGCACTATAGATATGGGTGTATCAAATTCCAACATGTATTGCTCGACCGACACTGCAGAACATAAATGCATTACTGGAATCCAATACTTGAACATCTTCATTAGCTTTTGGGTACGTTTCAATGCACAGCAAATTACATGGTTAGAATATGTGCTCAGTGGCATAAATTGGGAAATTTCTGGCAGCCCACTTCTAATTATCAGGGTAAAGATATTCCCGTATCTTCGAAATTGGAATGGTATAACCATCCACCACTGGGTGCTATGCTGCCCGATCTTTTCAGTCCGCTGTATGCAAGGAATTCAATGTGCACGGTAATCGTTGTCGTTCCACGCAGGATCAAGACATCGTTTTTCGTCTTTATGCCAAATATTTCACACGCTAGATGCGGTCATCAACAGCTGCTCTCCATAAAACAATCCCATACAAACACTGCCCTAAATTTTTCTACACATCCCACACTGTTCCATACTCTGGAGGGACCCATTTCAGGAATATATGCTGCTTGATTCAAATATTTCTTTTTCAACATGTCATTTCTGCCCTAGCCCTTTATTTTATGAGACGCTCAAATACCCAATTTTTGGATCTTCATGCTGGAAAATGAGCGAAAGTTTAAGGGCAAGATCGATAGTGACTTATGAGGCAGCATGGAGTGATGATACATTGAAGTTGTCCAAGATCTGTTGCACCATGAGAGGATATTGCCAGCTGAACGGCATGATGATGTGCAACACGGAACACGCCAAGGTGCACATCATCATGCCTTTCAGCGATCATGCATGATGGTGCAATACAAAGGAAGGTGCACCATTTGGCCACAAGAAAAGATTCAACTAGAACAAGGGAACTGTAAAGTCAGGCATTCTTAACTGCGGTGGCAGCGCTTTCCTGCTATTTGGTACCTGTTCTCAGGGGGAAGACAGAAAATATCTATCGAAGCGCTATGGCCAAGTTTCGACTGTGGTTCGCTGCCATTGAATTCAGCTCGATACATCCAATATTAGATTTCTCAGAAGCTGTTGAACGCGAAATCAAATACAGCACGTCCTTCAGCAGGTTTGCTCGGCACGCAATGCGGGCGTGCCTAGATTCTTCACCTGAGAAGGCACAAGAACATTCAGTGAGCTCCGAATAGTTCAGCCTGCAATCTTCTGGCTACAAGCATTTGCGATCAGTGGCTAGCGTCACACGAAAGTTTAGGACGTATTTTGCCAAATTGTGAATGTTGTATTCACTGCTGCAGCTCGCACTCAAACATTTTCGGAAAAATTCAAAGGAAATGCAAGAAACGTCATCCCTGCCAGTTGGGATCCCTCGCCTCTCCAACGCGTTTCCCAACAAACCTTCGTGCAGGTCATTAATATCAAACAATTGCGCATGACTGGCCATTTTGCCAAGTGTTATTTGCCTGCTGGCAAGCTCATGTATCCACCCATCGTGCCCTCGTGGTTTGCTCAGTCGTCTGGCAGGACTTTGCATGTCAGACAAACTGTCCCATTCTTAGTTTCTCCTCGCAGTGTCATGCTCAGCTGTCCCATCCCTCCTGGAGAAAACAAAAATTGCCTCATGCACGGGGGGACATGTGATGAAATCGGCGCAAAGCTTCACCACCTACCCAAGGGGAGGCGGTGGCCCTCCAATAGTCCCGCCCTATGCCCTTCACCAAATTCACCACCACATTAATGGTGCCTCGCCACAATGGCAGCGGTTGGTGACCAATCACTGATTCGGTGAATCAGCGGCTGTTGCGTGTTTTCAGCGCGTACCCTCGGGAGCCAAAGCGTACACATAAATTCTCCACGTAGCGACCCGTGGAGCTACCCATTCTCCAACAAACCTCAGACAGGTAGGTGCACAAATCCATTAGAATACACTTCTACTAGAACTATCAGCGAGGAGGTAAACTGTTCCCTCGTGGACAGACGCTTATGAAGTAATACCAACAACACGTTTATATCCCTCAATGCAGATGCTGCAGGTGCGTGGTACTGGGATGTACAGAAGCTGCAGTCCCAAGCGTGAATGCTAGGGACGCGAATGACACAAACGGCACACAATAGACATCCTAAGTGAAATTTGTTCGCGGAACAAAAGGCAGTGGGCATTGCCAGCGGAGGTGCATCACCGGCATCTTGACTTTCGGGAGGCCAACGTTTTGCAAATGGTCCGAGGTAGGCAAGTCCGTTGCCAAATGTTGAATGCACCTGGCAACGATTGAATTGTGTCGAGGAGATAGCCTTGAGTTCTCCCGAATCGGCAGACGCCTGCATGGGGTGGTGTCGAGCGCATGTCCATGCAAACGCCGATGATCCCAGTCAGGCGACAGAGCAGGACATTGCTTCACTAATCCGGCCCCAGCGCGAGCCCACCATGCTTGGTGGCCATCAGGACAGCCGCGCAGCTGTGCTGCGTCACAAGATGGGCATGATGCGGTTGAGTGCAGACGTTGTCCCGCACCCTCGGACTCACCGGCCAATCATGTCGACCGGCTTTCCATCAACTATTCCTGCGCATTTCCAAGAGTCCCGTCGCGGGGTCCGGCCCTTGGCCTGGCGACCCGCAGCAACTGGGGTGAATGCAATGGATCGCAGCGATGTGTCATCCTGTTGGCCAAATCTCCTGCCTCCTTCATCTGGATGACGCCCTAATGTACCCCCAAACGTCCCCCGCTCATCCCTCTGGTCTGCATCGGAGTAGACAAGAGGAGTTGCCGATGGGAGCAAGCCTCCTTGGCGAGAGCTGCCCTCGTCAGGGGCCTCGCTCCGCAGAGCCTGGCGGGATACCAGGGGGTCGCCAATCGGTCGACAGGGGCCCACAAATATTGTGGAGGCCGCTCCTCGCGTAGCTAGGTCGCTGATCGTCAGGCAGAGCGGTTCTGACATTGTTCGTCCCGGCAAAAGGTTGTGGCGGGAGAGGCGGAAGGCGCGGCGGGGATTGCTCTGAACGAAGAGGGCACGGGGGAAGGCCAGGCGGGAAGCGAAGGGGACGCAATGTCGCCGGCGGCGTCGGACGCTCGAGACGGGACGCAGGCGGGGTTTCCGCCCGACGACGGAGCGCCCACGGCCAACGGCAGCGCCCCGGAGGGCGATCGGAGGCCCGAACAGGCGTCGGAGGCGGTCTTCGTAGACACAACAGGCGCGCGCCCCGCCTCCCAGACGTTGCCGTGTCCTAGATGTGCGCACCGAAAAGCGGGGGCGGAACGTGTGGGGGAGGATGCGTCACTCCGCGACGAGGAACGCCAGATCCTTGTGGCTCGACGCGTCCTGAGAGGTGTGCGAGGGGGCGCCTAGATGGCGCGGCCGGCGCTTTGGGGCGCTTGCGGGCGATGCGCGTGCATGTGCACGTTCGCCCCTGCGAGGGGCGTCACAAAGGTGGCGAGCAACCAGCCGTCGGCCGACCATGGTTTCAGAGTGACCTTTGCTGCTTAAAAGAAACCCGGCACGTTGTTAGTGCCCAATGCCCAGTTGTGTGCTGATCTGTAGGCGCCGTCCATGGTAGTGGACGCTGTAGGCCGTGTTGTTAACGCGCAGGTAAAAGCTTGTCGACTGACGTCCGTGCCCTTCGAGCCCAGCACCAACCTGGCCCTGAAGTACCATCGGCACGTCTAGCCAGTGTTATCTTGGACGGGAAAGGGCCACACACCGCGCATTGCAAAGACTTTGCCTTGAACTGCAAGGAGTTTTCAAGACGTTTCTGTTGGGGAGCGGACGACGTGTCTATTGATTGTGTATAATCTGCTGGCTTCCGTTCGAGTCATTGCTGCCCGCTTCTGCCCACTCTGCTGTGCATTGCAACTGAGGATTCCTGAACCCCTGGGCGTTTCGTCATCCATCTGCGTATATTTGACTGTCCCCCAGTCCGTTACCTGACACCATCCATGAGCACAAACTCACCGGTTTGCAACTCCACGGTGTAAAGACGGGGCGTTGGCCCAATAAGCTGCACGAGTTCAATGCTGTTTATTTATCTGTGCTTCAGGTGGCGCAAGGCCTATTGTTCTTCCCAGCCGCGCAGACGGCGGTCAGAGCTTGGAGGGCGGCTGGAAAAAACCCCCCTTCATACCGGAGAACAGGTCTTTGGGTAGTCCGCGCAATGGGGAGCGCACCCGCTCTGCTGAGTTAGGTCCGAGGACGGCGCTCGACCATCCAAATAGCACAATGCATGGGGTGCTCCGGCCGGCACACTTGCAAGGATGTCCGGAGCCAAGGCAAAGGACGGTGCCCCAGTTGCGACACATCAACACCTGGACTGCGTCGCATGCGGGAAGGGGTCCTCAAAGGGTGTTGACAGGCGGGCACGGGCTTGCCGATGACAGGGCGGCATCGCTGAACATCCCCTTGCTGGGGGACATGCAGCCTTCAGAAGGCAGCATCCAGGGCAGTTTGAAAGAAAGGCCTTCAGATTACCCCACGTTGGAGCTGCTGTCTGGCCGCTGTTCTGCATCCCCAAGAGAGGGACACCGCCCACCAGGAGCGAGAAACACAGAGTCGCTTGATTTTGAACCAGTGCAGAACAGTGTCCTTCTCAATCGCCTGAAAAAGGGCAGGGAGACGGAGAGGCGTTTCTATGGCTACACAGGAAGGACGTTTGTGAAGTTTGTTATCACAATTCAAGCTGGTGTGCTCATCGGGTTGACGGCCATTGCCATATCATCCATGTCAAAGCACATGATAGCCTGGAAGAACGGGGTGGTGATGTCCCTCTGTGACTTGACATCGAGCCAGGGAATTGTGGCTGCCATGGCCTTCCACGCTTTCTACAGTGTAGGCCTTGTCCTGTTGGCTGTTTCCATGGTCCAGTTCTGGGCACCAGAAGGTGCTGGCGCTGGGGTCTCCTTGGTTATGTCCTATCTCAATGGGTCGCATGTGCCAAATCTATTTCATGTCCGCACACTGATCACAAAGTTTGTGGGCACGACGTGTGCTCTTGCAGCCAGCCTATTCCTGGGGCCCGAAGGGCCTATGGTTCACATGGGTGCTGCCATCGCTTCGGCAATGACCTATCCGTGGGGATGCTGTAGGCCACACAGGTCCAGACCAGCAAAGCTGTACATATCGGCAGAACCCATGGGGCCGGAGTCAGACCAATCGTCGCTTCTCACAGAAGCCCAAGTGACAGAGTCCGACCTGTTGATGCAGATCTGGTCAAGGCTGAGTACCTTTGTGATGGAGTTATACACAGACCTTGACCGGCGTGACCTCCTGTCAGCTGGAGCAGGGTCAGGGATAGCTGCAGCATTCGGAGCCCCAATTGGGGGTGTGCTGTTTGCAATGGAAGAGGCAGCAACTTATTGGTCCAAGAAGGTTGCCTGGCGCTGCTTCTTGTGTGCAGTCGCATCTGTGATCAGCATCAACATTGTGCACGCAACCTTCGGATCCAGTTGCATTGAAGGCGAGAGGTCGATTGCGTGCAGCACTGGCGATCTTGGCATGTTGTCTTTTGAGAAGGGGGTGGACCTCGAGGAATTGGACTGGCTGAAGCAAACCCCTTTCATCTTGGGGATAAGTGTGATTGCCGGGATCATCGGTGTGATCTTCAACTCACTAAGGGTATTGCTGTGGCGGTATCGTGCACCAGCCAAAAACCATATGCTCCGCATGGTTGAGGCCATGGGTGTTGCACTGATTACTGTCATCGTCATGTTTGCTGTTTCTGCTGTATGTGGGAGGTGTCGCACAGTGCTGGACAAAAGCTGGGAGGAGGAACATGCGTACTTGCAGTTTAACTGCGACGAGGGCCAGCACAACGACCTGGCATCGGCATTCATGGCAAGTCCGGAGGTCACTGTCAAGCGGCTGTTCAGCCTTGGGTCGAAGCTTGAAATGCAGGACATGCACTCTGCTCATGAGAAGGCAGTGGAGTTCTATGACAGCCATTTTACCATTGAGAGCTTGTCCGTTTTCATTCCATTCTATTTGGTCGTGATGAGCCTGGGTGCGGGGATCGCCATTCCAGGTGGACTCTTCTTACCAGCAATCATGGTGGGAGGGATGAGTGGTGCCCTGTATGGTCGCCTTGTGAGCAAAGTTGCTGCTCACTTTGGCTACCTCAAGATTCAGCCTGGCTTCTATGCCCTCCTGGGTGCCACTGGCTCGCTTGCCTCAGTCTTTCGATCTTCGATATCCCTGGTGGTGATTGTCATCGAGGGCACTCGCAACATCGACTACCTCTTTGGCGTTGTGTTGGCAGTTGTGGTGTCCAATTGGGTTGCACACCATGTACATCACGATGGAATCTACGAGAGTGAGATTGAGAGGGCTGGCAATGCCTATTTCCTGAAGCCAGAGCCCCCAAGAGTACTCTTTTGCCAGACGGCTGAGAAGATCATGGTGTCCGATGTGCACTGCTTGAGGTACTGCTGTTGTACTTGTGGCATCAATTTATCTGACACCTTGAAACGATGGACGTTCAGATGGGAGACGAGCAATCAGCCCTTAACCCTGTTCCAGTGTTTGTTTGCCCTGAAGTTTGACACCAAGGGGACTGTGGGCTGAGTATCATGGTCACTTGGAAGTCTACCTGGGTCTTGCAGCAGCAGTTTCCACACTGCGGGGGGGTTGGGTCTTCATGACCATGAATGGTTGGCAAGAACCTGATTTAGTTCATGCCATCTTTGGTGCACAGCAGTTTCCATGTTTTGCAGTGCATTGTTGGTGTTTGAGCACATCACTGCATGTTGGATGTGAAGTTGTGCCTTCTATTCTGCTGTCTGCCAGGATGATCGAGAAAGTCAGCCACATCCTCAAAGTGCTCAGGGACACACCACACAATGGTTTCCCAGTCATTGAGCAAGATCAACAGAGCGAGCGCAGGGTGGGAAGGCTTGAGGGTTTGATCCTCAGGAGCCAACTGCTGGTTATGCTCAGGAGGAGGGTCTTCTGTGATGCACAAGGCAGGCCATGGACAACAGTGGACGAGGAAGCGATCGATGCAGAGATGAGGCACTTCTACTCACTACAGCATACCCATCATAGATTCATGGCCACCACAGAGAAGATGGTAGGTTTTCTGGTGTGATGGAATTTCTTGTATGTTTTACAGAAGGTTGTGCAAATGATTTTTCTCCCAATAACCTATTACACATCCGTTGGCACATCCACAGTGGCAGGGTAATTGCTTGACAGTCGTAATGTGCACTATGCTTTGAACTATCCCCTTTAGGGTGTTCCCTCTTCTTATTCATACGATTGCACATACACAACTGCAAGACAGTGGTTACTGATGCTTGCCTTGCACTTTGGTGTTGGACTTGTGCAAGTGTTCTGTTGTTGCAGACTGGATTGTGACTGCTGAAGATGTTGTGCTGTGTCACAGGTGGACGCTCTGGAGCTGGACTGGGTGCACAACCTCCTCACTCCAAGAGCTGCTGAAGAAGACACAAATGGTCAGGCGGAAGTTGTGGAGTCTCCTGGCCCTTCAGCCACAACTGTGTCCAGTGGCATCTTCATATCTCCCTTTGCTCAGATGCCACCACTGGGTGAGGCTGTGTCCGGGAGCCTGTACATGGACCTGCGGCCATTCATGAACAGGGCCCCTCTCACAGTGCGCCAGGAGTGTTGTGCAGCACGGGCGTACGAGGTGTTCACGTCATTGGGGCTGCGACACCTGTGCGTGGTAAATGACAAGAATGAGGTCGCAGGGATCATCACACGGAAGGACCTTGACCATGCATCTGGACCAGGGTGGTGGCGCCAAAATAGAATGGCGCCCAGCCCTGAGAGACAGCAAGCCATGGTGAAGTCCGTCAGCCAGATGAGGCTGACGCCAAGCCGCCCTCCATCCGCCAACGACATAGCATCCATGCACTCAGCTGAGATGTTCATGTCACGTGACAACGACTTTTGGGAGGACGGCCCGAGTCGCCCAAAGTCGGTTATGTAGGGCGAACAGGAAACTCAACCTATGGATAAATGCCTTGGATAAAAGTAGATATGATTGCACCATACAGGCTTGCCGCCGTTGCACCCTCCCTTCTCACTTTGATTCTTCCATGGACTGTTGGATTGGCCAACTGGTGATTTTATTCATTTCTTGATTGTTAGATTTTCGACGGAAAATAAGATGTTCGAAAAAGAATTCGATTTTAGATACAGTGGGAGACAAGGGATTGTTTTTAGTGGTCTGCAAGCTGCTTGTACCAGTTTAGGACAGCGAGGTCAAGGGATTGCAGTAGATTAATAACTATTCAGTGTGAAGTACTTGAAGTATAAAACAGCGGTTGTGCAGCTCTTTGAACGCCATCAGGCTCTTCCGTTTGTGAATCTGGTGGAAATCGCTGACATTGGCTTGGATGCTATGCGAGTTGACGAAGTTAGAGAAAGCGACGGAAAGGATCTAACTATTGGAGGTATTCTGACCGTTATCTGGCAGTTGTGCACCTGCATTGTGCACAACTTGCATTGATGAGCTGCAACAGCAGTGGATAATAGCAACTGGTCGCCGTGGCAGTCATTTGCTAGGTCACTGGTTGCCGGACAATTGAGGAAAGGAGGGGTGGGTGTGAGGAGGCTATCATCCCAGGTGTGACCTGTGGAGCCTGTTGACACCAGGATTTGGAATTCCAATAGGATCAACGAGAACACCTTTTTTGGTGCACTCGTGGCTGTGGAGTATGTCATGTGGGAATGGACTGGAGGCATTGAACATTTGAAATATCCCATGGAACAGTGCTTTCGGAAAGAGTGGAAGCAGGCGGTAGTGGCCCTTTTGCAGGGACTGTTTCATGGCTTCACCAGCCAGGGGAGCACAGGCCTTGACCAAGAATAGCTTTTGTTTGAGCCTACCCTGAGGCTCAACTGACGACTCATGCGTTTGCCAAACACAGAAATACGGTGACGCTGTGTGTTCCCCCTCGTCGCCATGCCGGAGCTGAAGTTTTGACTGAGCTCCACACTCAAACTCATTAAAGAAATGGCACAAAATTAATGTTCCGCAACTCTTCTGGTTTTATGCCAAAATCTTGATGCTCCACCCAGAACAGTTCTTGGTCAAAATCTCATGATTTCCCTTGTCTTGGATGTCATCCGATCGAAGACAAATGTTTTAATTCCATTACAGCTTTGCCTACATCAAATTGTATGCTCATAAATCTGAATCGCGATGACGGCGGCAGCGGTTCAGGCTCATCAAGGGCAACCTTGCTGAATGCCACTGCTGACATTAACTCCGCAATGTCGGATACATAGCTGAATGACCTGACCACCTGGCCTATGTTGGGCCAGCGGAGCGGGAGGATCAGAGGGGTATGACCAGGGCAAACATTTGGAATGTGCACAGGTGAAAGGTGACGCTAATTTCCCAAATTGTGGAATGATTAAATGTGATGCGCCCTACATCGCCTCTAGTTGTAGATCCTAAGTAGCAGATTGGCTTGCAAACCACGGCGACTGAATCGTGCATCAGCCATAGAAAACTGTGGAAGTTGGTTGCCTTGGGACGAGCGAGCAGCTGTACAGTATGTTGGACACCCAGCATCGCATGCAGAGGGCGAATTTCCTTCAAGTGACAGTGAAGTCCTCGGTTCTCGAAAGTACTAAATTGTTCATTTTCAACAAAGTTGCACTTCTTTTCGATGGTGCCACAGAAATACCTCTTCTTTATGCAATAGTAGTCATAGCTACAATGTGACTTGTAAACATCTACCCCATTTTGGCCAACACAAAGTGGCTTCATCCAAAATGGCGGTGCGATAATTAAAGCCGCGGGCATATCTCAAAGGTATAGCTGCATTTCTACAGCCCGCTCACCGCATAAATTAGTACTCGAATTTTCAATTTTCAATCGTATATAACTAAAAGCGTTTGGTAATAAAACACAGCTCCACGACACGTGGTAAGGTGCCATGCTGCAGAGCAAAGTTCAATCGACTATTAAAACGCATTATTTGAATACGAAAATACTAAATACCATAAAATACAGAAGTGCCCAACGGCGGAACAAGTTCTTGATGGCCTGAGAGGGTAGAATGCCCGTCTTTGTAGGTGCTGTGCAGCGCATTTAGGAGCATACACAGACTGTCATTCTGGTAGGGTCCCGTTTCACCCGGCAGTAAATGCCCGTTTCTTATTCATATTGACACTGGACCCTGAAAACTAATGATCCAAATGGTCCTCCCTCTCAGAATCTGTGGTAGAGCAGGGTCCTATGTTTTGGTGTCATGTTGTACTCGCTAATAATGAGCTCAAACCCAAAGCCACCACTGTGGATGTTGCAGGACGATCAGAATCTGATCATTATGTGCTTCAAATATGATGGTCTTAAATTGTATGTAATCTGGAGAGAGTTGAGTGAGAAAGGATGAAGTGAATGGCGTGCTACATGCCAGATAGTGGATCAAATCCGCAAAATAGTGAGCAACTCGCAGCAGGGTTTGTGGTTTAGTTTTTTGGGGTCTTGGACCTCAAGGTTTGTGTTTGTTGTTTGGATGTGCCCCGCGAGCCACCATCCCGTGAAGTTCGAGAAGGGTTTATGATGCATGGCAGAGATCGGCCATCATGTGCGTTGTTGACATGCAGGGCTGGCGTGAACCAGTTGTTTTGGTGTTCTATTCGTTGTGCCCATGGCCTCGTCCGCCACACTTGTGACCATGGCCAATGCCATGAAAAGGCTTGTTTGCATTGTTGAAGGATATGGGAACTGTGGCAAAAAGAGGAGATATGGCCACCATCACAAACAGAACAATGCTGTTTGCAAAGTGCCCCATCTGATATATGATGTCAGGGCAGAATTGTAGACATAAGCAAGCTTCGTTCCTCCTACAAGTAGGCTCAGACAATGTGCGCCATGGAGCCAACAAGCAACGCACAATTTGCTGGTTCATATGGCGGTCAGTGACACCACCACATATTCAATGACTTCTCCAACGAGCAGGTCTGACAGCCTTTCGTGCAAAATGTCGGTAAGGTCCAAAAGGCTGCACTAGTGCGCAACATCACGATTATGTGTTTTTTTGGGCAAAACGGTTGTGCTCAAGATTGGCCGTCAGAAAACAAGGAAATTTGTGCGCAACATTGCCATTTCTGAGTGCACAAAAAGAGAAGAGGATGCATGTTCTATTGTTTTCCATGACCCCCTTACCGACATTTTGCACGAAAGTTAGTTCCAACGGACTGACTCAGTTCCAACTTGTCAAAAATGGCTTTAAACTACACAAGAAATTGGGTTGCAGAAGTCGCCAATTCGTCACCTTTACCTCCTGGCTGACCCACAATCCTTTGGAACATAGTGTGGTAGGCAGTTATTGACGTTTTCTGAAGTGAGAATTATGTAAATTGCAAATCGACCTTTTGAAAGCAAAGCAAGCAGAGCGTTATAGAGCAAAATTGCAATTTTGGCTGACCGTTAGCTGCCGACCGTATGCCACTGACCGCACACTGCCGACTGCATGCCGCCGACCGCACGGCACCGACCGCTCGCCGCGCATGCACTACCCCCTCCCCGGCTTCCTTGGGCCTCGCATGGCATGCGGCATGCATGCCGACCACCCACTCATGCCCCTCCCCAGACTTCCTTGTGCATTGTGCTGTGTGCGGCATAGGCGCCGACTGCCCACTCACGACCACCCCAGGATTTCCTTGTGCCTTGCATGGCACGTGGCATGCGCGCCGACCACCCACCCACACCCTCCCTAACTTCCTTGTGCCTCCCGCGGCATGCGTGCGGTGCGGCGGGCGGCATGGGCACCAATCGTGCACTCATGCCCATCCCCGGGCTTCCTGCACTAGTGCATGGAGCGCGGGCATGGCACGGCGTGGGTGCCAACCAGCCTCCTACTAGCTTCCCCTACGTTTGCTTGGCCGGTGCACGGGGCCTGTTCGCCTGGGCTTAAGCATGACTAAGGGGGGGAGGGGTGGTACGGGACACCTCTAGTGCCATGCGCCATATGTGCGTGGTCACTTTTTGCATTACACGCACAAGCATTATGTGGTTTCAGTAACGTTTGGTGAGCCTCTTGGCTGTTGAGTGGTTCTGTACTATTGCAGCCCTGTTGGCAGCCACTGATTTCTGGAGGCGTTGGGGTCGCCCTACCCTGCGGCTTGGCTGTTTGAGGTCAACCGGCCCTCTCCACCTTGGATGGTGGGCGTATCCGGGGCAGACGCTATGGTGGTCACACGGTAGGCTTAATGCTTGATAGGGATCAATCCCTGAGGCTTGCTATCAGTGAGAAGTGGCGGCGCAATGATGGCGGTTTGCTGGCTTGTGGGAGGCCAAGCACTGGGCCCCGAATGTGGTCACATAATTCATAGCATGTGCACACACTTATCACATACGCGATGCCCGAGTGCAGGTCTATCGTGGTCACATCATAACAAGACAACATTATGCGCATCCGGGCACATCGTCACCATCCACCATTCACACACGATCGACCAATTGTCCTCTAATTCTAAGCATCTAACACCCGACCCTCTATCCCTTAAGTGCTATAGATTCAAGAGGCCACAACTTTGTTGTTTCTTAAAGGAATTGAGTGTTTACAAGTGCGTTGGAGCCAAGAAGCTCTAAATAACACTCTAAATTATGTAATTTCTACTCCAAAAAATGTCAATAATTGTCTAACCCCAAGTAACCACACCACATGTACCAGCACACGGCGCGGACGCCGACCGTGCACATGCCACCCATCCCTAAGCTTCCTTAACCGGCACGCATGTGGCACAGCGTGCAGCACAACCACCAACTGGCTGCTCATGCCCAATCCCCTTGGCTAGCTTGCCCAATGCACGGCGCATAGCATGGCTCTGACCGCCCACTCACAATCCAACCCCGGGCTCCCTGCACTGGCGCGCGGTGCGCAGGCACCACGCAACGTGCAGCATCCCACCTCCCGTAGACTTCCCCCAGGTTTCCTTTGCCGGCGCCTTAGGAATGAAGGTATTGCA